AGTCATAGTCATAGTCATCAACCTAACCTCACTGAACTATGAATCACAGTCACAGTCATAGTCATAGTCATCAACCTAACCTCACTGTACTGTGAATCATAGCCATAGTCATAGTCATCAACCTAACCTCACTGAACTAAAAGACTGGGAGAATTTTTTGAGGGAAAAGTTTTAAGGAAATTTAAAAATACGTTATAGCCGTTTATAAAAGATTTAAAAAAAGATTTCGGAAAAAATGTCACGTTATTTTGAGGATTCATTTCACAAATATTTTTTTTTATGATTCCAGTTTAAGCGCTTAAAAAAAAAAATTTAACATGTCAAATGCACATGTAATATTGCAGCCAAAAATCTTCAAAATGATATGTTTCGGTTGAAATTAGATTGGGAAAAACCAAAAATGAAGAAAAATTGCTTGTTTTTTTCTATGCCAATGATTACTTTTTTGGTCCACCCATTCAAAACGAATGAAAAAAAATTCTCAAGAGATTTTATTCACGAAACCAAAAAAGTAAATGAAAATTTGAATTGAAATGGAATTTCTGGTTTAGTTTCTGGAAAGTTTCCTAATGATCTCTTGCTCTACCGTTGAAGGCAACAACAGCCAATCACGTTCACCATCAATTTGAATGTTTTTTGTTTTCACACATCTCTTTGATAATAATTTTCTTTATAAATTTTTCTTTTTTTGTTTAAATGAAAATTGATTTCCTATTCTATAAAAAACAACAACATAGAAATGCATTATCATTGAACATGTTACAAGAATTGAATAAACAATTTGATACAATGGAAAAACAATGTATCCATCCAATACAACAACAACAACCAAAATCTAATCATCAATCGACAACTGATGATAGCAAAACATTATTACGTGCAATTGTCATTTCATCAAATTCAGAGAAAATATTTTCATCTGGTCATGATCTTAAGGAATTGGTAAGTTTCTTTCTTTATTTGTTTTGTCAGTAAAAAGCAAAAGAAAAAATCCATTTGTCATTCTCTTTGTGTGAGTTGGAATTATTTATTGATTTGTATAACAAGGATTTCTTTTTCTTATTTTTTTGTTGTTAACAACCATCATTATTATTATGATTATGATGATCATTAGCACACAGAATCTTTATTTTTTTCTGTCTGTGATATTTGATTATTGCTTTTAACAGTCAACAAACATACATGGATTTTGCCCACGAAAAAAAAATCTTCAACATGGAAGATGTGTGATTTAATAAAATGTTAAGCAAAACTTTATTCACTTTTGCTTGTTTGTTTTGGACGGAAAAATTTGGAATTTCAAAAAGCAGCAGCATTTTTTGTTCCTCCTTTTGATTATAATCTAAATGTTTTAACAAGCTAAAAAGAGAAGAAAAAAAAATGAAAAGTTTTAGTTTATCTTTTTGGTCAGTCAAAAGTTTTTGCAGAATTTTTATTTTTCTGATTCCATTTTTTTTCAAACTTTAGTATGAAGAGGTGGCTTTAGAGCTAAATTCAGAACAAAAAAAAATTGTTTTTCGAGAATTTGGAATTTTTGGGAAAAACATCAGAATTTCTCATTCACATGATGAGTGAAAATTATTTTGGAAATATAATGATGTCCCAAGTGAAAACTAATGCAGAATTATTTTTTTTAGTTGAAAAAGTGAATTTTATTTCGATTGAGGTCGATTTCATTCGTTTTGTTTACAATGTACATCATGATGATGAATGACATTTTAATTTAAATTTTTTTGTTTCAACCTTTATATAGAGAGAAATGGATATTTTTTTGGGATTCTGATCCTGAAATGTTTTCAAAATGATGTTGAATTATTCTCAATAGAAAATCCTAATGGAATATCATTATATTGGTTGTTTATGGATTCATTAGATAAATAAGAAAGATATCTATCTATCTTTTTCGGATGTAATTAAATTGCTGTTTTTGTTGTTATTTTGTCTATAAAAATTTCAATTGAAATTCAATTGGCTAAAAACATTGTTACATTTTGTTTTCATCATTTTGTTTCCGTGGATGATGAATGTTTTTAGGGCTAATGAAGAAAACGAATGAAAAAGCCTAATTGAATCGATTTGCTTGTCTTTTTCAATGATATAGAATACAATTCGAAAGAAAGATAACTGAATGAAACACACACACACACACACTTCAATCGACTAATTGTTCATCAGCCAATTCTTGTGTTTATATACAATGATTCTTTTTAATGAAAATGTGAAATTCTGGTCAGCAAAAAAAACTCGACTTAATGATTCTTGATATGTTTTTTCTTTCTTATAACATAGATAATAATAGACTGTTTCCATTAAAATAATATTGTTTTCGGAAAATTTAATGATGACTGAGCATTGAAGAAATATCCAATCAATGACACGATTGTTCATCATCAACATTATTATTTCTTAGAGAGTGAAAAGTGAAAAGAAAAATTGAATCAAATTAATTTCAAACAAAAGAAACAAAAAAAATTGTTGCCGAATCGACAACAAATAAAATGAAGATGATACCAAAAAAAAGTGAAAAAGTTTTTTCCAAAAGAATCCTAACTGAATTATTTATGTTTTTATATTGCTGACATTGTTGTTTTGATGATTATATATGTCGAAATCAAAAAAGTTGATTGACTGTCTTCGATGAACTATTGATCAACATCAATGTTTGGTTTGTTTGTTTGTTATCAGATTATTGATCGTTGGATTAAAAAAAACATGAAATCTTTCAGTTTAAATATTGAATTTAATGAATTTTTAATTAAATTTTGTAAACAGAAATTAAATAATGATCCCAAATATCACCAATTAATATTTGATGAATGTACAAGATTAATGTTACGTTTACGTTCAATACCTGTTCCGGTTATTTGTCAAGTTGATGGTAAATAAACTTTTTCATTTCCTCTATTCACTGCCCTTATCTTAATATTGAATTTTTCACAGGCTTAGCAGCCGCTGCTGGTTGTCAACTAGTTGCATCATGTGATATTGTTTTGGCTACTGAACGTAGTCAATTTTCAACACCCGGTGCTAGTGTAGGTTTATTTTGTTCAACACCTGGTATTGCTGTTGCACGTACCGTTAACCGACGTTGGGCTTCATATATGTTATTGACTGGTCGTGCAATCAATGCAAATGGTAATAATAATCTTCATTATTCATTGATTCTAATTGATTATTATTTGACAAAAAAAAATCTTGTTTCCTTTTTTCTATAAAATAACTAGAGGCATTTATTAGTGGTCTTGTTACTTGTGTATCACCAACTTTCGAAACAATGCAAACACAGGTTTGTTTCTATTTAATAATATTTATTCTCCTTATTATTGTTATTGTGTATATTACAGACTGAATCAATATTGGAATCAATCATAACAAAACCTGCATCAGTTATTGCTTTAGGCAAACAATTTATGTATAAACAAATGGAAATGAATAATTTAGCCGATGCTTATAGGTAAAATGATTGATGATGATGATAGAATCAAAGTCATCGATTTATTATTGATCATTCTTTTTCGTTTTCTTCCAATTTTTCCTTAATTAAACTTTTATGAAAATAAAAGTCAAGGATCCCGAATAATGGTAGATAATTTATCAATGAAAGATTGCCAAGAAGGTATCGATGCATTTCTACAAAAACGTCAACCAAATTGGACCCATTCGAATGAATGAATGAATCATCAATATTGATTTAATAAAAAATTTGATTGAAAATCCAAATTTCATTTTTCTGATTACTTTTGACATTTTGAAAATGTCCATTTTCAACATTAATCGATATGGCTAACTAGAATGAGAGAGACACTTGACTAACTTTTTTTCAAAAAAAAAATTCTCCAAGGAATTTTCTTGGATCATAGAATTGCTGATTGATCGCAGAATGCACATTTCTTGTTGAAATATTATTGTCCGATTTTTTTTTGATCGAGAAAAATCGATGAATCGATTCCATAATCCACTGTATCACGGGAAAAAAGTGAACATCACGTTTGTTTTGATCACAATGAGACAAATCATATTATGATGATATAATCATTTTTTTCGAAAGATCAAAGCTTGATTCATCAATGAGAATGGTCACAAAATGAAACAACAAAATTCTCCGTTGAATAATGAGAAATTCCTAATGCAACACATATGTGCTTGTATGGAACTGGAATAAAATCCTCATTAATAATAATGATGATGACGATCATCATGATCATTTTTTTCTGGTTATCGTCATAATTATTGTCGTTTCATTTTTGGTTGTTGTTGAATATTCTAATGACATTCTAATCAATTAGAAATATTTATGTCTCTGTGTGTGTGTGTGTGTCCTACATTTTAATTTTTCTATTCGAAACAAAAAACAATTCTTTCCAGTTAATCATGATGATTATTATCACAATGTTAGGTAGTTGATAATCTCCGGTACAAACAAATAATAGTCTGCATTATTTTAGTGTTTTAGTGTCGTGTAGTGTAATTTTCATTAATTTTTCCCAGGTTTATTTCTGATGGTGTCAGTCAGTCAGTCAGCCAGCCAGCCAAAATCTGTCATTTCAGTTCAGTTTCCAACTGAAAAAAAGGGTAGAATAAAAAAGAATAATAATTTCAGGTCGCCCAAAAATCTAAATTGCGAATTCCAAAATGATCCTGGATACCTGTGTGGATGGCAATAAAAACAATGGGAACAAAGAGCTTGTTGGATTGCTTGATTACTTTCTTCTAGTCCTTTTCAATCATTGTTCATTTGGTGATTCAGTTTTTGGTGGTTTAGCTTTTTACTGTGTTTTATTGTGTGAAAAAAAAACGTGAATAGAATTTTTGATACGACATAACATACTTTTATATAGAATTCAATTGGTTTGGTTTCTTCACTTTGTCACAAAAAAAAACACTGTAAGCTAAAACCAACTTTGGCAAAGATAAAACAAATGAATGACATGTTGTTGTTGGTCAATCACACATAACGAAAATATTTTAAAAGGGTGGAGATATTTTCCCTGTAGAACAAGCAACTAAATACAAATAATATTAGTTGCTATGTGAAATGTGGAACCTAAAAAAAACAGAATTTCCTAGATTCTTGTTTCCATTCCTGAATTTCTGCATTTCTGTGGTCTAGTTTTCATTTATTTTTGTGAAAAACACATATTTGTTTAAGCATGTTTATGTTCGTGTTTTGAATTTGTGAAAAATTTATTTTAAAAAAATTTCTGTCCTTCTTTTTTTTCGTTGTTAATAGAAATTATCGTGATCAAAAAATTATTATTTTGTTAAAATCATAAATTAATCATCAATCATCATATTCTAATTAGATTTTATCTTTAGCAACATACACAATATTTGATGATGATGATAATGGAAATTTTTTTAAAAAGGAATTTTCATTGTTCATTTTCTTCAATAAATTTCATTTATTTATCTGTCTAATTTTTTTGTTATTTGAAAAAGAACATGATCTTTTATTAGATCAAAAATGAAAGGAAAAATTCCTTATTAGTCTCATGTCATGTCTGAAAATATATATGACATTAATGTTTTTTACACGCAAACGGATTCATCAATCTTTTTTCTTAATATTATTTTTCATCTCATTTCATTTCAAACATAACGATAATCTTATTATTCATAATTTCATTCTTAACAATTCATAGAATGAAAAAAAAGCTGATTATAATCGATTGAATGTTAAACAATGTGATTCCTTCATATCAGTCATATCATATCAAATCTAAACACACACACACACACACATCAGGCAATGTATATGAAAATTTTCAACTACCTTTATTTAATGAAATGAACACATACAGAAAAAAGAATAATAAAGTTCCAGATAACGGAAATTCTTCAATACGCAGAATCAACAAACCGACAAATTATTCGGATAATGGCAAACGTGGATGGAAAAAAAATTGAAGAAGATTTTTTCCATTCAGATTCTCAGTGTGTGTCTGGTGTGTGCTACATATGCACGCACATGCACCAAACCAATCCAAAACCAAACAACAGTTATATTTGATATGATAAAATCACAATCATCATTATAATAATTTTGATATGACGACAAAATCTTTGAATTTAATCTTTTGAATGAATTTTTTGTTTTTTATATCAGTTTTTTTTTGTCAATAAAAAGATGTGTAAATGGAAATGATGATGGTGTTCATTATATCATGATCATCATATCTATCTAGTTGCCAAATTTTTTTGTTCGTTTTTTTCTTTTCTTTCAATTTCAATTTTGATTTTTGTATTAAATGTGTACAAACACAGACATTCAGATTGTCAGACGACAAAACAAAACAGAGAAAAAAATCATCAATTTTGATTAAAAAATTCATAATCCATGTGATCCAACAACCACAACCAATCATTATCAGCAGCAACCATGATAATCAATTACCATTATCATCAATAATCAACATTCAGATCAGGATCAGTGATTTTTATTAATCTTTTTAATCTTCACACAAACATCAAACCCAGTCCAAATTCGTGTTTCGATGTTTTTGTGGTTGATATTTGTTTGACATTTTTGAATAATAAATCTTAATCAAAAAACCAATCATGTGGCGTGGTTTTGGTGCCGAAACTGATTCGGAGCCATTACCGGCTCAACGAAGTTATTTTCGTCCACGTATTCAATCAATATCGGGTGTATTGGCAATGACCAAACAACGTTTGTTCACAATGGCACCACGTGATGATCCAGATCAATCATTACCTGCACATACAGCATCAATACATCCAGTAACAGCAATGAATCATCATCATTCGCATCATTCACATCATTTAAATCTAAATGATCCATATCTATTGAATGGTGCACTTGGTTTACTTGGTGCACGTTGTCCATCACCAGCACGTTCAAGTTATGGTGATATTATGTCATTTAGTCGTTCAGTATCTGCACGGCCATCGATTGATTCACAAACAGCACATGCTATTTATGGTAATTATTATTATTATCCATTTTTTTCCAAACAAACAAACTAAAAACATTTAGATTCTGTGTGCGTGTTTTCCCATAAGTTTTTTTAGTTTTTGAATTTTTTAAAAAATTCAACATTATAATTCCGCATGATGGTTTTTCTCAAAAAGTTTTTTTCCCGAAAAAGAGATTTTTTTTCATTTTTTCATTAAAAATTTTGATTGTCAGTTTGATCCTTTTCAGTTTGATTCAACGATCCAAAAAATTGAAAAAGTGAACAAAAAAAAAATTATTTTTTAAATTCAAGTTTTTTTTCACTTTTCAAGTGCAAAATTTTTAGAATTCTATTCGAGTGTCGATAACATTCCAATTTGATTTAAAGCTTTAAAAAACGACGTTCAAGTTTTGTTTTGTTTTTGTTTTGTTCAGGTAACTAAACAGATAACTAAACGTTAATCAAATTTTGCAAATATCCTTTACAAAAACCAGATGCTACCAGATTCTGGTCTGGTGAACAATAATTTTGGAACTAGAATTTCTTTTCTTTTTTTCTTTCGCTTCAAGAATCACTCATATAGCCTTAAGCATGATAACAAACCAGATTGAAAAAAAGAAAAAGAAAAATTCTGCCATCATCATTTTTGTGTAAATGTCTTGAGTTTTTCAAAAGAATAAACAAACCAAAGAAAAATTCTTTCGCATCTTTATATTTCATAAATAAACTTTATTAGTTTGTTCCATATTCGGTCATCATTTTTATATGATGAAATTTTTGTCGGTCGATCTTCAAAGAAAATTCACTTTTAGTTAGGTTTTTGGTTTTTGATTTACTACAAAGTGAAACAAACAGGAAATTTGTTCGGGGCAAATTTTTGTTCAATGACGCACAATAGTATTATATGATACATAATCCATTTTTTTTTAGTAAATCTTTTTGAACTTAAAAATTTTTTTGACAATTATTTTTCAAAACCAAGATCCATCTGCCATCTAGTGTCGGCCATATATACTATACTTTTTTTTGGTTTTTTTAATTAATTCAAGATTTTTCTTCATTTGATATTTGAATCATCATCACAAAAAACAATGATGAAACTTGATTATATAGAAAAGTGGTTTCAATTCTAGATTCTTCAATTGAATTATTATTATTGTCATTTTTTGGCTGCTACTGTCATTACCGAATTGAATACCGCTCCTTTATTTTGTCTTAGTTATTTTTTCGGATGCTGAAAATATCGTGTAACAGAAAAGGTAGAATTTTTCTATGGAAAAATAAGAATCATCATCATCTCTATATTCTGTCCAATGCGAACACACATCTCATCTCTCACTCTTTCTATATACATCTCATCTATATTATCATTTTTTTCACTAGAATTCTCGGTGTGTGTCTAACACACTATAGTTGGCTTGGTATTTGAATGAATGGATGCTCTGTTTTTGGCAATATTTTTGGCTCGATGCATTAATTCTGTTGTTGTTTTGGTTATTATTTCCATCGTTGATCTTATTCGCTTCAAAGAATAATTTTTGTTGTTGTTATTGCTGGTTAATATCCAACCAACCAAATCAATTAAACCAATTTTTTTCAATTTGATTTGACGTTTGTTTGACTGTTTATTCTCATTCGTCTTCTTCTTTTTCTTTGCTGATCTTCATCATCATACTTGCCATTTATTCATTCATTCAGACCACTGAATCGATCGATTGACGTTTGACTTGTCTTTCTCTCTTTCACTGTCGTCTTATGTTTTTTCTTCTATTTTTATTTCATAAAATATTGATTTTAAATAGCAGCATATCATACTAAGTGTATTCGAAAATGTTTTGGTCGGTAAAATTGTCGCAAGGGCGTCATAATCAAATAGGACAATCGATCAGTAGCGGAGTAGGAGGAGGTTTATCACCACCATCAACACGAGCTACTGGTCTAGGCGGTGGTGGTGGAATAGGACAAATAGCAGCGATTGCTTCGGCTGCTTTAGCTTCATCACCATCATCACCACCAATTTCATTGCGAACAAATGATTTTATCATTCATAATGCCAACAATATTGATTCAGATCCTGATCTAAACGATGATAATTCTGAACCAATCGATACAATAAGTCAACGTTTTTTAGCACCGTTACAAATCCAGCCGCCAAGAAAACGTTCATTAGTACAGGCATTATTGAATAGTGCAAATCTTACCACACCAAGCGGTAAAGATAATCCTAATTCAAAAATGTTTATGGATTCTTCGGGTGGTGGTGGTCAATCATCAACCGGTTTAGCAGGTATCCATAATTTTGGTATGATGATAATATTTTTTCCCAATTGATTATTAATCCTCAAAATCAATCAATTTCCTTCTTTTTTTTCACTACTTTTCTTGCTTCTAATATCATGCTTTTTTCAATCAAATCCATCTATCATCTTGCTTGGGCGTTTTCCTATATGCAAAACAAAAAATCGATTACCATCACCATCATCAATATCACCTTAGATCATTCACTTGATATCGACAATTATGGTTTGCCATATTTTTTCGGTATATGATTTTTTTTCATTTGAATAATAATTTCGGGTGTGAATTTGTGATTTTTTTATTCAGTTGATAAAATTTAGCTAATCAATAATCAATGAGAAATAATAAATGAATTTCCATAATAATAAACGAAAAAGAAACTTTCTTTACAAATTTTTCACACGAACAACAACAATGATGATAATAATTATTCTTAATTTTCGATCATTAATTATTGATTTTGTTTGTGGAGTTTTGCTGACAAACTTTTGTGTGTCTATCAACATTGATTTTTTTAAAAATTTGATTTGGTTGCCATGGTCTTTGTGATTTTCTTTATTCTTTTTGAGAAAAAAATAGCTTTCTTAATTCGTTCAGTCAATCAGATTTTCCTAGATAGAAGAAACCATTGTATTTATTTTGCTTTGCCTTTTATTCAAACACACATAGTTGACATGTTTGTTTTATTATTAACATTATGGTTATTTATAATAATGTTTTTTGATTATTTTCAAATTTATTGTCCACCACTATCACCGATAAAATTATTGAATTCATTCAATAATCATAAAGGTGATCCATTAGGTATACATGATCCATCGGAAGCTGAATTAGGTGGTGTTGGTCATGAAATGAATACTGGTCCATTTGTAAAACGATCTCGAAAAATTTTACGTGGTTTGCTACTGATGATTATTGTTTCATTATGTTGGGTTGCTGTTGTACATTTATTTCGTTTAAGTTTTCATCGTGAACGTATCCTTTATACAATTTCAGCTGGTCATTTTAATATTTCAAAATTATTTTCATCATCATCATCTAATCGACCAAATTTAAAACAACCAATTGAATTGGAAAATTTACTTCCAAATATCAATAACAAAAAGAATCCAAATCTAAATGAACCAACGACCATGACTAATAATAACAATTCATTTGAATCATTGCCATTACCAATGGAATTAATATCAAACAAGGGTTCGAAAATCAAACAAAAATTGCCAGCATCATCAACATCGTTGAATGAATTTCCACGTTCAAAATTTGATGCACCATATTTGGTCACTTGGTATTGTAGCATATGGAATATATTCTATATGCCTATCTATCTAATGATACATGCATATTTTTTGAGTCGTCGATCAAAAGCAACAAGCAATTCAAATGAACAACAACAACAACAATCAGGTTCAAATTCCGGTGGTAGTAGTGCAGTCAGTAATAATCCATTTGGTAGTAATGTTAGTAATAATAATAAATCTGCTGGTTCATCAAGTATTTGTGGTACGACCGATACATCTACATCATCATCTTCAAGTTCAACTTCGATTAAAAAAGTTTTACTGTAAGTTTTTTTTATTGTTAAATTTCTTATCTAATCTTTGATCTCTAATTAAAAGTGAAAGCATTCAAGGAATTGTTGATCGTGGTTTTACATTGATGCAATTTTTTTCAAGATTAGCATTTTTCTGTTCATTATGTATTCTGGCAAATTATATGCTAATATTTTCGCTACGTATTCTTGATGCTACCGTTGTAATGGCATTATTCGCTTCATCAGTATCGTTGGTTTACCTTTTATCTTGGGTTGTTTTACATCAACAATTTGTAGGAATTCGGGTATGTAATATTACTCAATTTCAATTTGATTTTTGATTGATTTGATCATTATTATCATTATTAGATTGTCGGTATCATCGTTGTCGATACTGGTGTCGCTTTATTAGTTTATATGGATGGGATACAGAATCAAACATTGGCAACGGTTATGATTGCTTTTGGATCGGCAATTGTTTTTGCTGTTTATAAAGTTTTTATGCGCCGTATGATTGGTTATACAACATTTGCACAGATGGCATTATTTCATTCATTAGTTGGCGCCCTAAATATGTTATTAGCATGGCCATTAATATTGATTCTTTATGCAACCGGTGTTGAAATCATAAAATGGTCTGAAATACCATGGTTATTTATGACTGGTGCATCAGTATGTGTCCTACTGGCTAATCTTATTTCAAGTTTTGGTGTTATTTGTACATATGAATTTTTTATCACTTTAGGAATGTTTTTTGCTATTCCTATTTCGGCTGGTAAGTAATTTCTATTTAGATTTGTTTTGATGACAATTTTTTAATCTTTTTTCCTAATTCTTATAGTGATAGATATCTATATAAATTCGGTTATATTTCGTGAAATGAAACTTGGTGGCGTTCTATTAATATTGATTGGATTTTTAGTAGTATTATTACCGGATAATTGGAATGGTTATCTAACTGATGCATTTCGTAATCGTTTAAAAAAATGGAAACGACGTGAAGAAAATAAAAAAAATGGACGTGCTCAAGATACAACTACTGGTCAATTATCACGTCTTCGTACATCAAGCGGAAGAGTTAAATGAACATTGATTTTTTATTTTAGCTGAAAAAATGGTGACCAACAACATCAGAGGGACAATGTGCCCTATGGAATGATGATCAATCGATGATTTTCAGAATTGGAATTGGAATCCATGTGCTGCTGGCTGCAGAAAAAATAATGATAATGTTGATGTTGTTATGAAATAAAGATAATACTTTGTTTTCAAAGGAAAAAATCATTTTTTAATTTTGATTTTATGAAAATGACAATATACAAAAAAAACGTGTTTGTGCAAAATTATATAATACAAATAAAGAAATTGATGATGATGTTTTAGATAATATCTTTTTTTCCATCATTATCGGTTTTTGTTGCCAATTCTTGTATCAATTCTTGATAGATAACACTGTCGATATTTTGGCCAAGCATATAGACTTGATAAATTTGGAAATTAGAAAATGTTAATCGAATTTTTGTCTTCATTTTCTATCAATCAAATGAATACATTACCTAGAAACCAATCACCAACAGACATTCGTCGTACAATTGTATGCAGGTGATCCAATGAACCAAGTTTAAATCGTAAACTTAATAAATAAACACGTACAGGTGGACAGGCAATAATAATCATACGAAATAATATTAATGCAGCCGTCATGGCACCCAATATTAGAAACCAAAACCAAATAAATATATAGATTTTTTCATTGACAATATTCAATGGTAACAAACATAATGCATCGATTGTTTCAATATTTGCTGATGGACCATATTTATAAAAACGACATTTTGTTACTCGAGGAAATATTCTGATCATTGGATCGATTCTTTCTTCTATAGAATTTTTGTTTGGAATGCAAAAATATAAAAAAAAGAATCAATTAATTAGATTTTTGTAATGTTAATTGAAAAAATTGATTTTGATTTGATAAACAAATTAATAGAAACATTCTTAATTTTAGAAGAATTTGATTTTTTCGTGTTAGTTTGTTTATCTTTCGAGCGTCGTTCGATCAAATGATTAAAATAAACTTGATTTCTTTTTTTTTGATGAAAAAATTATTTTTAGTTCCAAATCAACTTCATTATTTTTTTAATTTATTTCGATTTCGATTGACGACCACCATCAACTATAGTTTGTTGGTAGTAATAAATTTCATTGATGATGATGAAAATAATCAACAACAACAACACATTACATTGATGTTGTTAATGTTCAACTTTGACCTCACAGTCTTGTTTTTGTTATTATTCACAGTTTATTTAGTTGAAAGAAAAATTCTTTTGGAGAAAGTTTTCAGCGACCACGACGAGGTAAATGATCTTAATGTTTATCTCTGAATAAATGGATTTTGTCAGTTTGATATCATTGTGTGTGTGTGTTTGAAAAACTAAAAATAAATAATATTTGCCTACTCTCTGTTTCTGATGTTTCTGATTGTTGTCGTCGGTGACACATCAACCAACAAATCAAAAGAGAGAAAGTGTGAAAAGCCTACTGAATGATTGATTGAAAAATATAAAAGTTTTTTTTTGTTGATTCGGATTTTTTTCAATTTTGAAAACAAAAAAAAACAATTTCAGCAGATTTTTAGAGTTTTGACTTTAAGGGAGCAATGGAATTTGGATTGAAATGCAGAGAACTAATTTGATTTTGATTTGATTACCTTGATCCATTTGTGAAAATTGTATGACTTCAGTACCGTATGTTAAGAATTCTCCGTCAAAAAATTTATCCAAAGCATATATTTGAAATATAATATTCAATAATGCTAGTAATTCGCAGAAAAAATATCTTCCTGCATACCAATTATGATGACCACGGCTACTATAAAGATAATCAACTAATAATTTTTTCTTTTGTTTCTTTTCATGATCCGAACAAACGCCAACATCCAAATCCATCATTAATGATTGAATTTTGCCATTTTCCCACATTTTCCATAACCAACGTGGAATGTAGAATAATGTTGCCTGGAAAAATAATACAAATCCAACCCATTGATAATAACGATGATAACGGAATTCATTTTGATTTGATTCCCAATCCACACCCGGATATGGTACTTCGATACCAACTTTTTTATAATAACTTTTTGGTAAAGTATATGTTGTATGTATCCTATGGAATTGAGAAATTTGGAATTTCAAAGTTAAGATTAGATATCGGGATAGAATGGAAAGATGGAAAGATACACTTACCAACAATAAGTATTGATAACTGATTGTGAAACAGAATCACTTCGAACACAATCGATTGGATCACCAACATATTGTTTAGTTGATATTATTATACAAAATGATAACAGAATAATGACTGTTATTGAATAATGTAATTGGAATATTGTATTATCAATACGAATGCGGCTTGTTTTGAGCAGCGTTTTTAATGAGCGAAAAATGTCGAACATTATTTCGGATTTATTTTTTCTAGTAAATTTTTTTGTGAGGAATCAAACAGACACACACACGATACTTGTTGATGAAGCAGAAACAGAAAAAAAAACTAAAAATTCAATTCAAAATGAATCATCAATGAAAAAATCAAGAATCATCAAATAACGATGATGATGATTTATTATCATTTGATGGCAGTGGATCATCATCATGACGATAATTAAATCGTTCTAAAAGAATCGTTTTTTATCATCATCATCATGAAATTTATCATCATTCATTCCCTTTCAGGAAAATATAAAATAATATAAAATTGTTGCATCAAGAATTTTTTGCAGTTTCCAAACAGTGAAAAAAAAATAGTAAATTTAATGCCATTTAAAATGCATGGTTGAATGAAAATGCTGAAGAATTTCTTGAAATGAAAGAAAATTTGTTTGTTTTTTGTATTTTTTAAATGTCGGACGATGATGTTTATGTCAAAAAAAAATGTTGACTTGACGAATCAAACGACGATTATGTTTCAAATATCGTTGATCATTATTATTATGACTTTTATTCATTCATTGGTGAATTTTTTTCCTAAAATGACAACAACGAATGAAAAAAAGAAAAGGATGCTCGTTGTTTTCATTTCGACCGGCATTGTTCAAATATATATGTGTGACACGAAATGGTAGAATAACAAAAACGATCGATTGTTGATTGTTATTTAAAAAGATGATATTATCATTTTGCAAAAGAATTGTTTCTTGTTTTTCTTGGTTTGATTTTTCTCTGCTACTTAGATGCTATTCTTTATTCAATCAATCAATCAAAACGAAAAAAAATAGAACTGTCACCGAAAAAACAAAAATGTCAATTAAATGCATGAATTGAATGAATTCACATCAGGATGAATATGATGATGATGATCATTGATTGAACAAACAAGATTATGTTTGGAATATTCACTTATTATGATGATACTTTGAGCACATTGCATACATTGATTGAACACATTCATAACCGGAATATATTGAAAAAAGAAGCACTGAAAATGAACTGAAATGATGATGATTTTATATTGACATGATGATCACGTCATTGAATCAGTTGGTTGATTATTTTCATTTGATTCACTTTACTTTTTTTTTAAAAAAAAGAGCAATTTTATATTCAAAATGTTATATAAACTCGGTTAGGATAATCTCAACAATCGAATCGAATCAGAAAATGAATGAAAGAATTTATTTTATATTCACAGTATTTAGTTTTGTTTGCCAAAAAAGAAAAAGAAGAAGAAGAAAGATTTACGTAAAAATATCAATTCACGTTTTTATGTCTAAAAATTGAATCATCAAATATGTCATGAATTTTATTTTATTTCAAATTTTTGAGAAAATAAAAGATAAACAAAACAAAAAAAAAACGAAATTCATATGAAATGAATCATGAAAATTTCTTTCTTCTTTCGATGATCCATTCAATGATTATCGTATATAATGATGATGATGATAAGTTAATTAGAAATCAATTATAATGATTACATCATCATCAAATTGATTGTCTTCGATTTCGATTCTTAAACGAAATGAACATTGATTATTTGATGATGATATTCAACCAAGAAGTTAACTTCTTTGGTTTGATATGCAAATAAACTACCAACCTATCATTCTGATGATTCTATGTGATGATGATGATGGTGGTGGCATATTGTTTATCTTAGCGGAGAATTGAAGAAAATTCAATAGAGAGAAAGAAACTATTAACATGTTTAGAGAATAGAAACAATGTTGAAGAAAAAGTTAAACAGATGATGATCAAAAACTGAATTCAAGAATTTAAGAATCGATACTTTTTGTTCGCAAAAAACCAAAAACAAAAACAGAAAACATTTCCAGAAATCAAATCGAATTGTTGAATGATATGTGTGTTGTAAGTTGATGATGATGAAAGATTGATTTAATTGATCAAAAAAACAAAATTTGTTTTCAAATTCTGTTAAGATTAGAATTTTATTTCGCTTTTCATTTGAAAGAAATCCGGAATCAAAAAAAGAATCGACAGATCATTGTTGTTGAAATGATTGTTTTGTTTGCCATCCAAGAATCTTGTAGATTTTTTTTTCAAAATTTTTCAAAAATTCATTTCAAACATTTCTACCACTACCATTATAACTACGTTTGATGATGAAAAATCTTAGAGAAAAATGAGAATCCCGAAAAAAATCATTAACATCAATTCTAGAATTGGCCACAATTCATTCATATTCCTACTGTATGTATGTAATGTGTGATTGTCGACTGTTGAATGAATGAATGAAAAAACAAAAAACAAAAAATCGTTTAAGTGAATTGAACAAAAGGGGGAACAAACCAGGCGCGTGCAACGCAATGCAACAAACAAGGATTATTATACGGATGATGCGGATGGATGCAGAAAGATATGCATGCAGAAGATTTTTTCTTCATTTTCTTAATTTTCTCCGAAATGATAATAATAATAATGAAAAAAATAGTAAACGAATATTCTTCTTTTTCTTTGCCGAAAAACTTTAACAAAAACGACAACGACAAAAACAATCGCAACCGAAAAGTAATAATGAGACAAAACATTAAGGAAGTAAATTGATGATAATAAACATGATGCTTAAGTTTTTTCGAAACCACATTTCTTTTTGCATTATGTATGATATGTGTAAAGAATTGAAGATTAATCGTAAAGAGAGAGGCAAAATAAGAAAAAACCTTTAAGTGAATTTAATCATCAGCAGATTTTTTGTTATTCATTATGTAAAAATACTGTGAAAAAACTTTGTTATGGATGAATCTTTCATCTTCATCATCATTGTGGTGGTGACGACGACCTACAGACCGATCAACCAACTTACAAAACATTTTTGCTTATTCTTTCAAGTAAATTCTGTATGAAATGTGAATGTCTCGTGTTTATGTGTGTGTGTGCTGTCGGTGAATGAATTGAATGAATGAGAGTTGCATTTATTCTTTTGATGATGATGGTAAAATGTATGGCAAATTCAATTTGTTTCTTTCGGTTGGTTTTTTATGGTTCAAAGCTTTTATCTTGAATACGAACCATTTCGGAAAGATCACGAGTATTATTTTCTTGAAAAAAACTGTTGCTTTTTTACTGAAAAATTCAACCAAAAAAATCCAAATGTTGCTGTTATGAAAAATGAATGCCAGGATTTTATTTTCTTTTCAATAGGCGAAGCCTGGTCTTTTTGTTTCTCATCGAAAAAAGAATGTTTGAAGAAATGAAGAAAAACTTCCAGAAACGTTAAGAAAACAAAAAAAATGGGTCAAATTTTTTTCCGGAAAAATTTCCCCATAAAAAAACTTAATTGATTGATACATCATCATTTACATAAAAATCGTTAACATTGTGTACCATCCACCAAACCAAACTAAAACAATCAAATAAACTATATTTGAAGATAATTTATTACAATTTTATAATAATAATTTGTAATTTTCATAATAACATCGTCATCTAAATCGTGATTTAAATTTAGAATGTTAAAAGATTCTTCTTCTTTTTCCTACACTCTATGCTTACTAGGTCAGAGGTGTATTTTTAGTTTAGTTTTCTGCTACTCAAGTTGAAAAGCAAACGAATGAAAAAAACCAGTGTGTTTAGTGTTTTTTGGAAGAATTTTTTTAATTATTATTTTCAATTTAATCATCATTATCATCAGCTTCTCGAATAGAATATTTAGTGGGCATTCTAATTTTCGAATAATTCTGGTTGTTGATGATGTCATCATTATTATTATCATCAACAAAATTAACATCAACCAAATCATCATTCATAATCAATGGTGATGATGTTTCTCGTTGAAATGTTTGTTGTTGTTGTTGAATGTTATCCTTATTCATATTCATCAAATTATCATCCATATTGTTGTCATTATCATTATTATTTAATAATGATGTATCATTTTGTTGTTTATTATTATTATTATTCATCATCATTATCAATGATAATTCATAATAATCACATAAATTATCATATGATGATGATTGCTTTTTTTTGTTTGATTTCGATTGTGTTGTTGTTGTTGTTGATTCCTGATCAAATGCCATTGTTGGACGAACGGTTATAATTCGATTTAATTCTACCCGGGATTTTTCAAATGAAAAATTCAATTAATTGATTGATTGATTTTCAAATGACATTTACCTTGATTTGTATATTTCGTATAGAATGGTATACCAAAATGAAATGGACAAAATCTTGATTGTTGTGGATCATATTCAGGATATTGATCAAGATTTTTATAAATTAATGAATTTCCTTCATCATGATCATCATCAAATGAATTTTGGCGATCATCATCCATCAAGTGACTACCATCATCATCATGACTATCATTAGTCGTCGTATTGAATTGTTGAACGTAAAAAGGTTGTTTTGTCGCTTCAATTTGTTGCGGCTGCAGTTGTTGTTTTCGAACATTTTTCTTTGGCCATGGTTTTTGAAACAATTTTACGGTTGTTGACATTTTTAAATTTTGATCATTCGACGATCGTTGTCGTTGATTTTTTGAATCCTTCATACGTTGTTGTTGTTGACGAATTTTTCGCAATAAATCATCCAAATCTAATTTGGTTCGGGTCAAAATTTGTTCCATACTTTTTATCGATTTCGATTTCGATTTTGAATGATTATGTTTTTTTTGCATTTTTTCTTTTCTGCCCTACTGAAAAGATTTGGATAAAAATTCTTCATGTTAAATAAATCAATTTGAAACAATTTTAGAATTTTTCATTTAATCAATTTGTATTGTTTCACTCTTGTTTTTGTCGTTGAATTTCATTAATTTCATTGTTTTTGTTTTCATTTTACTTATCGGATCACTATCATCAGCGTTTTCGTCTCATTTTGATCCATTTATCTGACTGATATTATGATGATAATGATAATGATGACCTTCCTGATAATTTCATGCTTATCGTTGTGTTGTTGTTTACATATTAAACGTTCTTGAAAAAAACAAAATCATGAAATGATTTTGTTGTTGTTGTTGTCCACTTCCGTGAATGTTTTTATAAAAAATAAAATGAATGTCATGGGGGCAGAAATTATTGAACTTGAAAATCAATGCTGATGAACCTGCTACGGATACATTCGACAAAAACAAAAAACAGGAAAAAAACGTTTAAGGCAATTTATCCTGCAACTGAACTCCGATATGAATGAAATGAATCTTTAATTGAAAATCGTTGTTGTTGTTTGTTCATCGACAACAACAACAACATCAAGTCGGTGCATTTTAATCCACAACAACAACAACAATCACGGATTATGAAGTGATGATATAATCAGAATGAAAATTTTTTTACTAAATGAATTTTATTTGAATTTTTTTTAATTAATCAATTAACTCCCAAATGAATGAATGAATCAATGAATTTAAAAAAAGATGTTCTATGGTTGGTAAAAATAATAATGATGATGATAAAATGTGAAAAGAAATTAATAAATTAAATGAGAAAATGAAAGAAAAATGGATAAATGAAAATGAAAATTGTTTGATTCACAATATCTGTACACAATGTCATTTGATGATTAATGATGGTTTTATATTTTGAGGCATTGATTTTGATTCGATTTTTTTTTTGGGAAATTATATCGACATAATTTGCTTACATAATCGTTTAGGTGAAAATTATTTATTTCTTTTTGTATCCACCTTCATAACCACCTCCTTCATGACCACCGCCATATCCTCCTTCGTATCCGCCTCCTTCATGACCACCACCATATCCTCCTTCATAGCCACCACCACCATATTTATCTTCATAACCGCCCCCATGACCACCACCATAGCCATAGCCATGATCATCACCATAATAGGTACTGATTGCACCATATTTAGCATCGATACCATGACTATCACCATAGCCTCCTTCATAGCCACCACCGCCATAGCCTCCATCATAGCCTCCTTCATATCCGCCATCATAACCGCCGCCGTATTTATCTTCATAACCGCCACCATATTTATCTTCATAGCCACCTCCGTAGCCACCACCATATTTATCTTCATAGCCACCATATCCACCTGAATGGGTCAACAATTTACCGGTAACATAGCCACCACCGTATCCGCCGCCATAACCTCCATGGCCACCCCCATAGCCACCCCCATAACCGCCACCATAGCCACCACCATAGCTATCGTATTTTTTAACATAAACAGGTACTTTAACTGGATATGGTACTGGAACTTTGACTGGATATGGGACTTTGATTGGTACTTTGATTGGAACCTATGTCAATTGATTGGTTGAAACATTGAAAAATGGTTATGAAATTTTAATGATTGAATTGAATTGAATAAATTACCTTGTAAGGAACTTTATATGGAACTTCAACTTTTTTAATAATTGGTTTCGATTTGACTGGAATATAGACTGGATATTTTACTGGATATTTTTTAACAACATGAACCGGATGTGGAACTTGTTTATAAATATGAATTTTTTCTTTATGTCCATCAAACATTCCTTGCGTACTTTGGACAAGAACGGTGACCAAAATGGCCATAAACAAACTGGCTGATTGAGGTGACATTGTTGTTGTTGTTGTGACCAAAACGAAATGGAGAAAAAAAATTTCAATCACAAACTTTATATATACTTTTTTTTGGTTTCAATCACAATTTCTATGCGCACTTTTTTCGTATAATCCTTGAACTTGGATATGTTGAATCTGATGTTTCAAATGGCATTGGTCAGAGGCTTTTTATCCTATTCGCTCGTTTCTCAATAATGATGATGATCAATTTAGAATTTCTCTTGGATCGTTTCATCGACTACTTGATTCAAGAGAAAGAAAAAAGAAAAAAAACGAAGAAAAAATATCAGAGAAAATTGAAAAGAAAAAGAGAAATTAAAGCAACAAACTTTCACTCTCTTTTAGAAAGTTTCGGTTGTTTGTTTGTTGACGATATGATATCTCATCATCATCATCTTCGATGTCACAATCAAATGTCTTAAGATGATGATGATGATGATAGTTTGATCGGAAAAAAACGAGTCAAATAAATACATGATGATCATCATGATGAAAATTGGATCACTATTGGAGAGAAATTAAAAAATGCCTAAAGGATATTAATGATTAGCTAGCTAGGCTAGTTTGAATGGTCAGCTTTCTAAGTGTTTTTTTGTTGTTTGTGTGGGGACAAAAATTGGATCCGATTTTTTCAACAAAAAAAAATCGATCAAGATCGACCTTTGGCCAAAACATTACCAAGTTCGTGTCTTGTTTTTATTTTTATTTTTTTTCATTAAGGAAATCTTTTCTTTTCTTTTTTTTTTGATAACACCTTGCACATGTTTGTTGTTGTTGTTGCTGTGTATTACATTGGCCAATATATTGAGGGAAAAGATAGATAAGATAGGAAAAAAAATCTTTATCCATCAGACTAATCTATAATTATTGATTTTCGTTTTTTCCCCTTCAAAAAGAAAAAAATTTTAAATTAATTCCCAATTATCAATGTTGAAAACTTGATTTTCACATCACACACACACAAAGGTCAATATACAAAGTAATCAATTGATCGATCGATCCATATAATAAAATGATTTGTTTAATTTTATCAAAAATTTAAAATTAAAATTTTTCATGATTTTTTTCGGCAGAATCATTTTCTCATGATGATGACAAATTTCCATTTAATTCACGAAAAATATATTTTTTGATCCAGGAACTTTGAAATTGACAATTTTTTTTGATCTAGAAAATTTTTGGGCAAGCATCTTCATTATCCGGCAACAAAAAACAAACAGTTTTCGTTTTCAATTTATTTTTCATTATTATTATGCATACACAGACAGAAAGATGATTATCATTGATGATAATGATGGTTATGTGACCGAAATTTTAGAAAAATTAAAAAAAATCAATTTTTTTTAACAAAAAAACAAAAAAAATTGATGCAATGGACAGCGGAAATGATCAGTTAATTTTTTTCCTTTCAGTTTTTTAAAGTAATTTTTTTTCAAGGAAAGAAAATCAATTTACAATTCTACGTTGCCTTGTTTACAACACAGTAATGATTATAATGCTAATGATGATGGTAATCATCATTGGAACTATCATGATGATGATGATTTGAAGAAAGAATTTCAATTTTTTCACCCAATATATTAATCCTTCCACTTGTAAAGTGTCAGTGTTGAATAATGAGCTTTGTCAATGTTTGTTATTATCGATTTCCGGGTTAATTAAGACTTTTTTCTTCTCCAAATTAGATTCTCAATCGGAACATTTTTTTCCAACCTTGTTGCAATTGGAACAACTTTTTTCGAACACGGTGTTAATCGATTTAATCAGACGCTCCACTAAATGGGCGCCCTAGCCACATTAATTGGTCAACAACGATAATGACCGAAAACAAACAAAAAAATAATAATCGTATTTTACATCAACAAATTAACTGCAAAAAAAACTAAAACAAAACTTGTTCAAAATCCACTTTGATCTGGATTTTTTCAAAATCAAATTCAAAAAATGATTTAAAATGTATCAAAAATTTGTTGATTGTAAATTTGCGTGTAACTTTTTATTTAGTAAAGAGATTGAATATGAGAATCATAAATTAGTTAAATCGATATAATTTGTTTGTTTGTTGGTCAATTTGAATTGTTTTCTCCATTTATCATCATAATTGATCAATGTTTTCAACAAGTTTTCGATTGTATTTCCTCAATAATAATGATGATGATGTGAAAAGAAATTAATTTCAATTCAATTCCAAATACAAAAAAAATCTATTGATTAATTTGATAAATTTTGGATTGATTTTCACGATTTATCGTGTGCAATATCATTCAGCTGTGTCGTGTGTCTAGTCGAACATGTGTGGATTAATTTCGTGTAGACATTATCACCCTTTTTTTTTGATGGAATTTTCATCGAATTCACGAAATCCGTATTTCATGTTTATGTTTGCTTGATCCAATTGAATAAAGGTCATTTTGGCAGGATTTTTATTTTATTTTTTTGTTTGTCATTTCGCTAAACCAAAATTTATCAACAAAAAAAAACCTGTCATTTGTCAAACTTGTCATTAAAATTGTCACATCACATCAGTTTTATTTTTCCCATAATTCTCATATAAATTTGCTTGGAAGAAAAATGAAAATCTTTTTTTCCCATTGACCTTGTCCCTTTCCTTGAAGGTAGTCACAATATTAAAATCATCAAATCAAGATTTGTCCTTGTGTTTTTTGGGAAAATGGAAAACACTTATTCACTTCGACAATATCCATTGATTGATTTGGAAAATTTTTTTATTTAACTAATGATTATCATTTCTAATGAAATTTTTCTCTTTTTTTCTGATTTTTTCAAAAATATTGTTTTTTAGCGGTGTTAACGATTGGATTGACGATTTATTAAAACATTTTCATATCATTAAACGCCGATGGATCCAATATAATAATTTGGTGCCATTGATTCACACACACACAAACCGATGACATAGATGTCATCGACAAACAAAAATCTAGATCAAATTAAGATATTTCTTTTAAATTTTCCATATTTGAATTTGTAAAAAGACAAAAAATCAAACAAATTTTAAAATTCAATATTTATCACGTTTAACACACACACACAGGACGTTGCAGGATAATCATTGTCCTCTCAGATAGCCAAACACATCATTAATAATAAAGTTAATTACATGTATGTATATTATGCGACAATTTCAAACGCGTAACGCATTTATGTATCCTGCCAGTCCGGTTATTTTTTCACATCATTCATTCACATCTCAAACACAAGATGGCACAGCTGTTTCAGAAAAAAAAAATGTTAAATAAATTTTTCATTTTTTTAACGTTTAAAATACAGAAAAAAATCAAAAGAAAAAAAATTGAAAATGGGGAAAACAAAATGAAAATGACTGAATGAGATTTATAATTTAAAATAATAATAATTAGATCAGAATGATAATGATAATGATGATTAGGGAAGAGAAGAATTTCGCTTTTTGTTGGCTTGAAAGGCATTATATTAAATTGATCTATTTGGTGATCGTAAATTATGATCGTTTTTGAAATTTACTCATATACATTGGTGATCGTATTAGATTACCAGTTACATATGGTGTTTCAATCGATACTGGCCGATGAATTGAATCGATATGACTTGCTGAATCGTATTCAAATCCATTAACATCATTATCAATACGATCTTGTAAAAAACTATCAACAGATTCTCTTTCGCTATCATCAATATTATCATGATGATTATCATGTGATATTCTTGATTCAGCCATCTGATGTGATGATGGTGATAATCGTATTGGTGACCATCCTGCCATACCACGATCAATATTGATAAATGAATTTTCACCATTATCATTATAGATTGGCGGATTATTATTATTATTATTTCTGCTATATGGCGCTACATTATTATTATTTTCATTACCATAATTTGATGATTGTTGTTGCGATTGCGGTTGCGTATTTGTAAGGAATCGCATCAAATATTCTGGCTCTTGTTCTCGTTCACGATAATTTTCAATAAAATTTCTATCAAATGGTGGTACAATAAAATTTGGTTTTTGTTGTTGTTGATTTGATTGTGCCCAATTTTGTTGTTGTTGGTTATAATTTTGTTGTTGTTGTACCATTTGTCCAATAGTTGATGGACCTCGATTATCATTGTTGTTATTGTTGTTGTAATTTGATTGTGAATCTGAATTCATTGATGAATAACCATAGCCGCTATAACCTTGTGGTTGCTGTTGTTGTTGATGATTATCATAATTATTGTTGTTGTTGTCATTATTTCGTTGTTGTTGTTGTTGCTGTTGTTGTCCACCAAAACTAATATCACTGATACCACGATAATTTGGTCCTTCTACATGAACAATTTCTTGTCGAAATTTTTGTTGTTGTTGTTGTGGACGATATTGTTGTTGCTGTTGATTATTTCCTTGTTGTTGTTGATATTGTTGTTGTTGTTGGTTATTTCCTTGTTGCTGCTGATATTGCTGTTGCTGTTGTTGATTGTTTCCTTGCTGTTGTTGTCGATAATGCTCTTGTTGTTGATGATCTTGATTACCATAATAGAATTGTTGTTGTTGATGATTTTGGAATCTATTTTCATCCAAATTGATTGGGTGAATATTTTGTTGAATAGCTGATTGTTGTTGTTGGGATCCATATGGTTCACCGTTTTCATTAACTTGGATTAATTTCTTTTGATAATCACCTGGTCCATGATATTGTGATTGTGCTTGTGGTTGTTTCAACATCGGTTGTTGCGGTTGATATTGTTGTTGTTGTTGTTGTTGCTGGGGTATTTGTTGCTGTTGTTGTTGTTGTTGCTGGTCTTGATTGATACCTTGAGATTTTGGAACCAATGCTGCTACCGGCAATACTTGACTATTGAATGGTACGGCAATTGGAAACATAATTTTTTCACGTTGAATAACTTTGACTGGAAATGGTACTTGTACCGGTACTGGAACTTTAACCGGATATGGTTGTTTAACTTTTACTGGAACTTCAACTGGAATTTTAACCAATTTGACTACTGGTTTATAAACAACTTTTACTTGTTGTTGATGTTGTGGTGGCATTATTAACGACGGTCTGGATCCACCAAATTGTTCCTGATGATGTGGTGGTCTTGATTGGAAATCTAATTGACCAATAGTATCTGGCGCAGTTAATGATGGAATCATTGGCGAATCATTATTAGAAAATGGTGATGAGTGTTGTTGTTGAGGAACGGCCGGTTCTCCATTGTAAGCGGGTTCCATTTCACAACCTGGGAATGGACAATCATCTGGTTTATTCTGATAAAATGATGGTTTTGAATGATATGATGGTGGTGGATGCGATGCTTGTGGATGATGATGATGCATGTTGTGCATTTGTCCAAATATTGGTCCACTCATTGGATGATGTGGTGATCGTATCATTGAATCTATAGATGGTGGTCCTTGTTTCATCATTCCTGGAAATGGCATCAAATTCTGTGGCATATGATGTGGTGATGGAAATAAACCTGGTTGCGACATTGGACCACCGCCAACACCAAGATGATGATGATTTGGTCCAATATTTGGACCCATCATCATTGATGATGATAATGGTCTCATTTGTGATGCTTGTGTCATTAGATTTGGTGATGATCCAAATGGTGGTAAAAATCTAGGCGCACGTGGAATTCTTAAACCAAATTGTGGCATTCTTGGTATGGCTGCATAACAATCGACAAATGATTCGGTTATCACCATTACAATGGTGATTATTAATAATAATTTTTTCATTTTTTTTTGTTGTTTTTGTTTTGTTATGAATGAGATTCAATGATTATTTTGATGTTCAATTTCAAATCACATTTGTTGAATAAACAAAAAATCAAACAGAAAAAAAACACTTTTCAAATCACACCGATATAATCATTTGAATGACCATATTGATTTCTATTGGTTTTTATACTGCTTGGATTTCTTTTTTGGTTTGGTTTAGTTTAGTTGGCAATCTTCGTCGATCGAAAATAAGTGAATCTTTTTTTTTCTTCCCCACTTGTAATCTGGTGTCTCTTTCGGTGAAGGAAACATATACAGAGGAAAAAACATACAACCGAAATATGAACAACTCTTTCTTTTAGATTTTTCTTCACTTGAAAAAAACTGTGAAAGCAAGTTTTATTTCAACCGCAATCAACTCACCCAACCAGCCAGACAAAACATCTTTTTTTCTCGATGATTTCTTCGCCAAAAAAAATTACTCTTCTTTTCACTGTCGTGATTTGACATCATTCATAATTACATTTTAGTTGATCCATTTAATTTTGGCTCAAGTGATGATACCGGGTGATAAATGTAAAGTGTGTAACAAACCTGTGTGTGTATGTGAAAAATAAGAAGAAAAAATATGGTAAACATTTTCATCATCAGTTTTAATTGACTGAAATGGATTTAATTTTTTTTTAAAGATCATATCATTGCTATGGGATTTATTCGGGTTTCTGTATTTTTTTCAGCTTTTACTTTTTTTTCGCATTTAGAAAGAAAGAAAACTTGAATTTTTTTTTATTTAAAAAGTCTATATTGCATTTTTCGTATTAAAATAAAAATATATTTAGAATGAATGAATGAGTGTGGACAAAACTTGACCAGTCCAGTATTACCGATTATCCGTATGTGTGTGTTTTATTCGTTTGAATCTAATTTTATTTTATTTGTGGAAGAAATCAATGATTTTTAATTTGATGATATTTTCTCAAGTTAAGTGACTGAAGTTTTTTTTTGGATTTATTTTTACCATATTTTTTTTTCATTGGAAATGACAAATATTTTTTCCCTGTCATCGTTTATCGTTATCGCTTTCATCATCATTTACCGTTACTAAATTTGATAAAAACTTTCTTTTCTTTATTTTTTATTGAAAATTTTGTCGATAAAATTTATGATTTGTTTTTCTCATAACGTGATTTGAATTGGTTAAAAGGGAGAGAGAAAAAAATTTTGTAATTAAAAAAACAAAATTTAAGCTTTTTCGGGAGAAAAAAAATTTGTTTGGATTATTACCTAAACCTGAGGATTTATTTAGTGAATTTTATTGCAACAAATTATATAGCATCCAAAAAAAAACTATGACAGTTTTGAGATGAAATTTTCTCAAAATTGATCAAATTTTTATTCGTTTCGAACAAGATTTCGTTATTTGATAATAATTTTTTTTTTCAGAAAATCAATCAGGATGTGTAATGCGTTGGCGACACAAACACGTTGAGATATTGATTCGGTGTGGACATTCAGATCATTACATTTCCGCATCATTGGTACCATCCGGAAAATTATTTTTATTATTTTTTTCTAAAATTGTAACATTTTTTTCCGATACTGTTTTTTTCGAGTTGATTAGGTTTTCAACAACAACAACAACGCTTTACTCATCCATTAATGATGATGATGAAAAATGTTTTGAGTTAAAAACATTGTATTTTTTTCCATAACCTGATTTTTCAAAGATTATATGAATGACCCTTGTTTATACAAAAAATCAGATTGTTTTCTTCAGATTAGAATGAAAAAAAATCAATAACCATAAAACAATGATGCAATGAAACAAAAAAGATTCCAATCAACTTTTGGAGAAAAAAAAAGATAGATGAAAGAAAAGTCCGTAAAGTGAAATAATGGTAGATTGCTGTTCATTGAATACCATACATTTTTATTCGCTATTTTGTGTGTGTTTTTTGTCCTTTTTTCTCTGACGCATTCATTCCAGGATAATAATAATGCTTCTGATCTATACGCAGATGAAATTGAATCATTAATTATTAAACATTGTTGTTGTTGTTGTTGATGATAATGATTATGAATAATGAAAATGAATGCAGCAACGTAGAATTGGGTCTTTTTCTTTGTAAAAATCCTATAGATTTTACTGTATTATCATAATCATTCGAAAGGTATCATGTCATTAGGTGAATGATTTTTTCTCCTTCTTTTTTTCCCATTTTGAGAATATTCTTCTTCGGCTGCCCAACTAAACATCCATTCATCTTCATTGTTGTAAAAAATTCAAAGCAAAAAATAATAAAATAATAATGATAATAGACAAGCATATATAGGCGGATATTCTCTGTTTTTTCCTTTACTTTGATGAAAATGTTTTTTTCCATCGGAAAAATCAGTATAACAAGCATATTCAGGAAAAAAATCTCTTTTTTAGGTATCCTGAATCTTATCGATGTGTATATGGATGTTAGTAATGCTGCTTGCTTGCCTATATGTTTTTTTTAATGGGATGTCGGTTTTATTTTCATTTTAGTTTCAAAAGAAAATGAATAAACATTAAAATGGAACAAGATCCATTGCCATCATGGAACAACATCAGATAAGGAGATGGGAGAAAAAAAACCATACATCATTCCATTTAATGAACTAAAGCTTTGTTTGGTGAATTATACGAAACCTGAAAGAACGATGATGATGATGGTGGCAGGGCAAAAAGAAAAGAATTTTGATCCTCTATATTTTTTTTGTTCTCTCCAATCTTTGGTTATCAGATCAGATTCACACTTATCAGAATTGAAGAGAAAAAATCCCGAATTCTGCGGATTTTTTTCCGATGCCATAAATTCTTCATAATGTGTTGCAAGAAAAGAATTTCTTCCAATTTCGGATGAAAAAAAAAAATTTTTTCTTCATTGAATTATGCAATTGATGGTGAAGAAGATTCCAGACATCATATAAATCATTATTAATTTATTTTCTATACTTTTTTTAATTAAGAAAAAAATGAATCTCACTCTCTCTTTTGTTTTGTTTTTTTTTTTTGGTTGGTCAGAAAAGAATGAAACCCATCTCTAAATAAGTTAGGATTATGGGATTTTTTTCGAAGTACATCACATCATTATTCAATCTATCATAAATCATTATTCAGTTTTTTTCCCTGAAAAAAAAGAATTGATTATATTTTTGGCTTCGATCAAATTCAATTAAAAATATGACTTGCGTTCGTTAGTTGATTGGTTTGATTGAAGTTGTTTTGTTTTTCATTTACATTTCATTTTTTTTTTTTTTTGGTTTAGCAAATTGAATTGAATCAATTTTGATCATCGATCAATTGATTTTAATTGACATTGTGTGGTTGATTGATTTTCTTGAACAAACTAAATGTTTTGTGTATGGTTCGATTGGATGACACTATAGTTTTTTTTCACTCATATTGCTCACTCTCTCTTGTGACCGATTTCAATTTGATTGATTGATTTCCAATGTGGTTTAGTTTTTTTTTAAAAAAATTGGTTTAACACGGAAAGAGAAAAAAGAGGGATAGGGCTATATTTGGATTATGCAATGTAAATTTTTTTTGATTGATGAAAAAAGATGATTATCAAAAATAATCAAGCAAACCAAACCAAGCACTCAAAGCTATCAAAAAATGGGGATTATCCTGATGTGCGACATTCGCTAATTCATATATCAAATCATCATATCTCGGTGAAAGTTTAGATTTTTTTTTACAAAACAAAAAAATGAAATGATACTCGAGATAGGTTTTGAGAAAAACTAAAATTTCCTATTTTTGCTACCGTTTTCTGGAAGAAAAAAATGGAAATGATGATTTATTGATCAAATTTTGTTTTTTTTCAATAAAGATCTTTTACATCCAACAACAACAACAACAATAGTACAATTTACAACAACGATTGTATCATCGATAATCCAGATGATTTATTCGACACGAATTGTATCAAAACATCGATCATTTTTTAGACATAATGATATGACCATTTGAAATAAACTAAATAGAAACAGAATAAACGGAAATGATATCAAAGTTCAAAAATTTTTTTTTTGCAAACAGAAAAAAATTTGTTCTTATCAATTGATTTGTTTGGACATTAAGTGAAAGAGTGAAATGTCCAATTTGATCAAATTTTGTTGTTGTTATTATTCGTTTTTCCTTGTTGGTTTCTTCTCGTTAAGTACTGTTATCAATTTAGAAATAATCTTTTTTTTTTGTTTTTGTAATTTGTGTTTAGCTTTGTGCAGACATCGATAATGATGATAAGGGCGTCGTGATTTTGTTGTTAATTGATGATGATTGTTGTAATTGCGGTGGTGGTGATCACCCCACAATCAAAAATGTTTTCGATTTTCATTGATTTTAAATGATCAAGCCACTGAGTGATGGTGTTGTAGTCAATCAATTCGAGTTAAAATCACCTTTTAAAGAGTGAGTTTTTGTAGAGATTTTTTTTTTATTCAGCTGTTGTTTATTTTAATTGCCATCATTTTTTTCATTAATTCAGGATTTTTTCACCCGAAAAATAAAATGGCTGATCGAATGATTACAACTTTAAATGGAAATTTTTGTTTAGTTTCATTCAACATTCTATTTTATCTAATTTAGAAAAAAAACAAACTTTATTTAAGGAAATTTAAATTTAAACAAAATTTGATATTTTTTTTGAAAAGAAACGACATGTAACATAAATTGCTGTTCATGTTTTCATTTTTTTTTAATTAAACAAACTCGAAATTTAGTAGTTTGAAGATTATATCAAATGATAGCCAACATTATCAACAAAATGATGTATGGCATATTTGTTTAATTTTGGATTTTCCATTGTTGAATAATATTTTTTTGACTTAACAAACATGAATTATTGTTTGATTTTTGGATAATGCTTATTGATTGATTGGATTGATCAATTAATTTATTTTCCCAAGCAAAAATTTTACGTGTTGAAAACGTGTGAAAAAATATGTCTCCAATGCTTTTATCCCTGCTAAATTAATTAATAATTGAAATTTCACTAAA